GACACTCCTGTGTATACAACCTCAGTTCTATATCCGCAGCGTGAGATCTTGGGCACTGCTACCTCCAACTGCTAGTCTTGGGAGATTTGAAGTAAGAATTATGTTGCTCACTAATTTTTTTTGGAGGCTTGGATGTGAAGAAGCAATACTCTGCCTATTCCAAGATGGTGGAATCCACATAGACACAGTGCAGAAAAAGGTATATAGTCTGCTATAGAGAAAACCAGATTTATTGAGATCACAAGTAATACTGGTGACTAGTCCTTTGCCCTTTTATCTGTTTCTTTAACTCAGTCTTCAAAGTTTAGTCACCCTTCAGTTCATTTAAATAAGCAGGGCATGATGTGTTGGTTTTTTTTTTAGTAAAAACTGTTTGGCTCCTTTCACACGAAGGGTCTGATCAGGTCCACCTGTCATTTTTTCAGGTGGACCTAATTGGACTCAACATTCTCCCCTATGGACAAGCGGGTGTAAACGGTCCTGTATCTCTTTATGGCCGCCCACCTCCAATCCGGTCATCTAACAGAAAAAAAAAGGTTTTTGTTTTTTCTTTTTGCCTTCATTGTTACATTGGGCAGACTTCCCTTCACTTCCTGTCACATAGCCAAAACAGGAAGTGGGGAGGAAATCCTTGCAAATTTAAGGGAATATTTTGGGGCCTCCGGGTCACCAGAGCTAGTGTTCCCACTGGGAGATTTCCCCTCTGTTACGTCTTTGGGGACAGCCGAAAATTTGGGATTTTCTTTCACGTTCATTGATAATGGTAAACAGGACAAATAGAGAGGGTGCATAAAAATCAGACAGGTATTCTAATCTCTCTTCACTCTATCCAAAGCAAAAAGAAAAAAGTTTTGCTTAGTTATTCTTTAACTATTTTCCGCCTGGCTTATTGTCAAATGATGGCCAGGTGGAACTTTCATCTTTGCGGGTTGATATATGACGTCCTCCTGGTAATGTGCCTCGCACGAGCCCAACGGGCCGCACTGCGGCTTGATGGGTCACTGGCTGTGTCCACCGGACACACTCGGTGACAGTTCACTGCGCTCGGCCGCTGCCAGTACTATGTGATCACTATGACCAATCACAGCAGATCTCTTGACAGTTGTAAACAATGAATGGCTTTGATTCATGCCATTGTGTACAATTGTGTTGCAAGCTTTGATTTGTCACAGTGATCAATCACATGGCACAGACAGGGCCAATATCGGCTAAACACAAAAATATTCACTGAATGAATCAATTTCATTCAGCAAAATGGTAGTTTATACCAGTGCAAATTTTTATAACCGGAACGAAAAAAAAAACATTTTTTCCAGAATGTTTGGTATTTTTTTCATTTATTTGGTACGAATTAAACCCTGTGGTGATTAAATACCACCAAAAGAAAGCTTTCTTTGTGGTGTTAAAATAATAAAAAAAAATGTATGGGTACAGTGTTGAATGACTGCACAATTGTCATTCAAAGTGTGACAGCTGAAAATTGGCTTGGGTAGGAGTGGTTAAAGTGCCATTCTGTGGGATCTCAATTTAGTTGAGCCCCAGAGTTTCTTTCTTATAATGAATGGGCTTGGTTCACAAGTTCTTTAATTTTAGTTACATTTTTTTTCACTTTGCATTTCCCTGAAACAAATTGTGTGAGTTTTGTCAGCTGTTTCTGTGGTGCATCTGGCAAACTTAATCTCCTTAGTGTTTCATGTTTGTGTGTGTTAGCTGCCTGTTGAGTGAGTTAATCATAATACATTACAGTGACATTTGTTTAGTATCTGGAGTTTCACCATGACTTTCAGTACTGCCCATTTGTTTTGTCAGTACTCTATCAGCAAGACAGTTTAATATTATATCTAGAGATAATTACATCTATTACGCAATATAGGTGCCTTCAGACACTAGCTCTAATGATACCAGTAGTAAAATCTCGCAATAGTGAGATATTGGCTGGAAATTATTATGGGCTACATGGCATTTTCTATTTGGGGATTTTATAGGCTTCATGTAAATAAATGGACTATAGACAGTTAATCCTTTTCATTATTTGACGAGATCAACTAGTTCCTCTACACTCTGTATGACAGACAGCAGTACTTTAAAACGGAGCTCCACCCAAAAGGGAAGTTCCGTTTTAAGGACTGCTCCCCCGCTCCCCATTAAGGATTGGCACCTTTGGGGGGCGGAGGGTGTGGGAGGGGGGGGCGGATACCCGAATTTGACAGGTACCCGCTCCCACTTCAGGTCCTATCGCCTAGGCGACCAAAAGCAGAAGGTGTCCTCCCTCCCTGTAGTCTTTTGGGACAGGTCCCAGGAGACTACAGGGCCATTCATGAAGCACAGCGCTACTCACACGCATGCGCAGTGTGTACCCGGCTGTGAAGCTGCAAACTGCCACTGCTGGGTGTCCACACTGAAGATGCTGGCCTCCTGAAATACAGGACGGCCAATGAAATGGGCTGCGGGGACAAACCACGGGACTAAGGGACAGATAAGTGGCTGTTTTTTAAAAGTCAGCTACAGTTTTTGTAGCTGCTGACTTTTATTTTTTGAAAGGTGAGTGGAACTCCGCTTTAATCAGGAGCATGAATGCAAAAATATTACACATACAATGTAAAGATTTTGCCTTTTCTTTTGTAGTTTGGACTTATTGCACCAAACAAATTAATTCTTTATTCTAAATTACTTCATGATCTAAACATTTGTAAATGAAGAACTTTTAGCGAAGACGTATTTTTTTGTTAACTTTATAGAAAAAAAAAAAGGAAACCTCATTCATCTGACTTGTTGCATGTTTATTTTCTGCAGGTTTTTTTCTTGATTTAAAATACGAAAATGTGATTTTGCCTGATCGAACTCGTGGCATAGACTGAATGGTTTTGGTTATTTGTGCATCATTGCAGGTTATAGCCAAAGGAGGCAGTGCTGTTCCATTCATCAACCTGTATAGTATCCGTATGCCAAGTAATGCTTTCACTTATGTTACCAAAAGGATTTTTTTTTTTAAAAGCATTTGACAAAAATAGTTGAAATTGTTATTACTATAACATCTAAGGGAACACTGAGGGGGCTTTACTAAGACTACAGCTGTTGGAATCTGGAGCAGCTGTGCATAACAACTAACCGGCTTCTAGCTTTCATTTTCTAGCAGGAAAATACAGGAAAACAGTGCACTTATTAGCATTGCATTTGCAATCAGTGGATCGTGGGCGTGATGTCAGGCTCCTACGCACTCTTCCTCCAGCTCTCTGCCTGTACCTCTATATGGCCTGTCAGAGTTGGAGGAAATATCAATGGACTACAAGTGTGGTAACTACTGCACTGGTATCCCATTGAGAACTACAGATCCATCTGCAGCAGCGGAACATGGTGGTTGTAGTTCATTAATTCACATATCTCTGTGTGGGCAGAGCCCCGCCCAGGGGGTGGATGTTACACCCTAATTACAGGTGTGAATAAAGGAGGAGTTAGCCTTCAACTGAACAAGTGAAGTCAGCCACTTGTCAGCCAAAGTCAGTCTTTGGAGTGTAGGAGGAAGCCGGAGCACCCGGAGGAAACCCACGCAGGCACAGGGAGAACATGCAAACTCCAGGCAGGAGGTGCCACGGCTGGGATTTGAACCAACGACCCTAGTACTGCCAGGCGGAAGTGCTAACCATTTAGCCACTGTGTTGCCCATTTTATATTGTTATAAAAGAAGGGGGGTTAGATGCAGGAGTGTGATTGGGCCATTACTGTGCTGTATGTTTGTTAACTAGTAGATAATAAAGTGTGGGGGCAGCCCCAGAATATATAGAGCATAGCGTCTGGGGCTTCTCCATCATAGTGAGGAGAGGAAAGGAAGCATTTTGTCTTGGGTGTTGGAGACCCTATACCACCTGGTCAAGATTTTAAAACCATTTTTCTGTACTCTTAAGATTGTGCTGGATGAAAACTCCCCTTATGTCTCATTACCAGTGTAGATTAAAGGAAGGCTGGGCTGGTCCAGGTCAACTAGTATCCAGTGGGATAGAGATAAAGCATGTCTCAAGGGGTCCAAAGCTATGCAGAGGTCTTCAAAGGATATCATCTTGGGCTTGGTGACGTTTTTTTTTTTTTTCTCCAAAGAGTAGAGTGAAAATTTTGAAGTTTCATAGCCTGCCACAACTGGAGAGCTGGATCCAGCATGTGTTGGATATCTAAAATAGATTTTGTCCCCCCCCCTATGAAGGGAGCAAGTGCTTACGTCCTGTATGTGCTAGCTAAGAGAAAACCGCAAACTGGGGTTACCTACTTAAGATAGATGGGAGAGTCAGAGGTCCAGAGTACTGTCACCCTTCTGATTTATCTGTGTGGTGCCTGTTAGCAGGTGGGAATTACCATTTCTAGGTCTAAGCTTGAGAGGTCTTCTAAGGGGATCACAGCTGCTTCTTCCAGTTTGATTTAGGTCTTGTGAAGTTGTCTACATCAATGCAGAACCATGGACATGTGCGCTACTTGGTAATACCCTTATGGGGTTTGAAAAACCCAGTCCTTCCCTTTGGGGAGAGAGTCACTATGCTCTGAGGGTTACGGGACCAGAGATAGTGGACCAATTTTCTCCTTAAAGCTTCAAGAAAGGAGCTAGGAATCATTCTGGATTGGGCTTGTAAGCGGTATAGTAGTCTGGGTAAAGCATTTGTCTTTAAAATCCAGTTTCTCTCAAACCAGGTATGATAGCATTTGCTGCAATTGCTCAGTTCTCTTAACTGGGTAGAGAGCAGTGGTGCAAAGTTGGCGGCACCAAATAGTTTGTCCACAGAGTAATAAAGGGGCCCACAGGAACGGGAATTATTTTTTTAGGAACTTCGGGGATGGAGAAGGGAGATATTAAAGTACAACTAAAGGCAAAACATTTTTTATTTAGTTTTGGAAAGAGTGCAGATGGTATAGAAAGCTTGTCGGACTATATTGCTGTCTGTGCCCCCATTAACCTCCTTCCGCCCGCCCTATAGTACAATGACGGGCGCATAGTGGTTCTCTCGTTCTGATAGGACGTCATATGACATCCTTCCATTCTCACCGCGCATGCGCGGCTCAGGGAGCGCGCGGCGATCGACTGTGTGCTGTGTCCCTCGGGCACAGCGGATCACGGAAAGAACCGAAGATGTCGGCTCGGTCATGTGATCAGCTGTGTCCAATCACAGCTGATCACATGTAAACACGGAAATGCCGGTTATCGGCATTTCTCTCCTCTCGAGCTGTCACGCTGACAGGGCACTGATGATCAGTGTGGCCCCAGAAGTGCCAGCAGTCAGTGCCCATCAGTGCCACATATCAGTGCATACCAGTGCACATCAATGCCACATATCAGTGCCCATCTGAGCTGCCTTTCAATGTCACCCATCAGTTCCAGTCAGTGCCACCTATCAATACCAATCAGTGCTGCCTATCAGTGCCATATATCAGTGTCATGTATCAGTGCTGCCTTTCAGTGCCCATCAGTGATGCCTCTCAATGCCCATCAGTGCCACCTACCAGTGCCTCCTCATCAGTGCCACCTATCAGTGCCCATCACTGCAGCCCCATTAGCGCACATCAGTGAAGGAGAAAAATCACTTATTTACAAAATTGTATAACAAAAACTAAGAGGTTTTTTTTTTTCTAAATTTTCAGTGGTTTTTGGTTTAAGAAAAAATAAAAATCCCAGAGGTGATTAAATACCACCAAAAGAAAGCTCTATCTGTCTCAAAAAAATGCTAAAAATTTCATATTTCAAAGTGTGACAGCGCTGAAAGCTGGAAATTGGCCTGGGCAGGAAGGGGGTATAAGTGCCCTGTAGGAGATTTTGCCTCTCTATTTTTTCATCTTTACCATTATCATTGAAAGTGAAAGTTAAAAAAAAAACCCAATTTTTGGGTTGTCCCCGAAAAAGTAATAAAGAGGAAATCGTGCAATGGGGACAGTAGATCTAGGGACCTATGGGTCTCCAAGAAATTCCCTTAATTTGTAGGGGTTTCCTCTCACTTTCTTGTTTGGTTATAGGACAGGAAATGAAGAAAAATCTCCATAATGGGACATGGAGGAAAAAAATTTGAGAGTGGTTATAACCTTCCCTTACTCTGTCCGAAAAATGTTTTTAGTTTATAGTTCTACTTTAACATGTATTGCTTCTGATTTACCTTTATTAACTGTGTAGTTGGAGTGTTGAATAACGGTCAAGCCAATGGTCAGTCAATTGATCACTGATATAAAATGATACATTGTCAGCATATACTGTGATTTTTGTGATGAGAGTTTGGTAGCTTGTGATATCAATGTTCAGTCTGCAGAATAGGGGTTTGAGTGTGAGAATAAAGATTAATGCGAATAGGAAGGCATCTTGTACGGAATCCATTTCACAGAGTGAAATATTTTAATAAGGTTTCATTCACCCGTATGGCTACTGTTGGGTAAGAATAGTTTGTGCGCAGCCCGGGATCATGTGTGGCACCAAGCCAATATGCCCAAGAATGGATTTAAAGAGCTGCCAGTTGACGTGGTCCAACACTTTCTCTACATTCAAATGTATTAATATGGGAACAGTCTATGACCATGCCAGGTGGAGGATGATGAAAGTAGCAGTGGTGTTTATCCCAACCAGACATCAAACTCGCCAAGTCTGGGTGGATGAGTGGATGGATAAATACAATTCGCCAGATCTTCATGTGTAAAAGTGCAATAGGCTTAGAACAAATGCACTGTAGTTCGTTCTTGCCCTGTTTAGGGATTAGTGTGATATAAAATCTTAATGAGCCAGGTGGGGGGAAAGGATCAGTATAGTAAAATTATAAGCATATGGAATAAGAAGTGTGTGGCCAGTAAGTGGCAAAAGGTCTTGCAGTAAGCTAGTGTCAGACCAGCAAGCCTCAGTGCCCTGGCCTGTTGCATGCCATTCAAGGTTGCCTCAGATTATTCCTCTAGTTCACATGTGTCAAACACAAGGCCCCAGGGCCGAATCTGGCCCACCAGGCCATTTCAGTTGGCCCTCACACCACTCCTGCACCTGCTGCACTGTACCCGCATTGTCTCAGCAGTAGAGCGGAGGACAGAATTCCTCCACCAGATCCTGTACTTCTCTATGCAGCTGCAGAGAGGCTCGTCTTTTCAACCGTTCGTTTCATCGGTTGGCAGCTGAGAGGAGCAAAGAGCTCCTCTTACAGATCTTGTGTCTCTCTATGCATCCGCAGCACCCCCTCATCTCCACCTCCCCTGGTCTCAGCATTCAGCAGACTCTTAACAGCTGACTCCAGCCACTATTTAGTCCTCCTCCAGACCCTGCACTTTCTGCTTCTTCCCAGCAGCAGCACAAGGTTAGGGGGTACACTGTAGAATGGCGAGGAACTCTTGAGTCCTGATGGTGGGGGGGGGGGGGTCTTGACATCTGATGTAAGGGGGCAGGGGCTGCTCTGTCTGCTCATCTAGTCTTACAGATACAACCGGCCCTTTGAGGGCAACCATAATGCTGATGTGGCCTGCAACAAAATTGAGTTTGACATGCCTGCTCCAGTTGGATGGGAGATTCCATAAGGTCTCTACCTTTTAGGGTCAGGGTGGGCATGCCTGATGGGTGGGAGTATGTACTGACATTGTGTTTTGTGTGTCAGGGTGTTCCTCCCTAATGGCTCTTCGTTAATGTTTTACAGTGCCCGGTAAAAAATTCAAAAGCATTTTCTTATGTCCTGGGACCAAAAAAGCTTTTTTAGTTTTGTGTATGATTTTTTGTGAATATATGGTTTTAGTCTGCTTTCCTTGAGGGAACTGAGTAAGCCTTGGGCTGCAGACCAGTGCTTTGCCTAGGATCAGATATTAGTTTGCTGCAAGAAAGGAAGCATTTCCTCATTGTCAACCTCCGTGATCAGAATGCGACATTAGTAACTGTGTAGCAGTGCTGAGAGTCTGTGTCAGACATTTGTGGACACAACCAAGAACAGCACAGGCTCTGGATTTACATGATCATGTCATCCCTGAGCCAGCATCTCAATCCAGGAAGTTGTTCTGGATGATACCTGAACAAAAATAAGATACTATTCCTTCTGAAGAAGTTATTGTTGGGAGAGATGCTATGATCGCTGTGAGAAGTAATTTGTGTCTGTAGGGATTGCATTTATGCATTAGTTAGCATGCACTTAACCTGCTAGGTCTTCTTTAATAAGATCTGTTTTATAAATGTCAGTTATTGATTTGTTGAAATGCAACTCCAGCTACGTTTCTTATGTAGTTTTGCACACAGTGGTACAGGGTTAGAATATCCCTCAGGTTTTTATTACTGTCTGAGGTTTCCTCAGGATTTTTCCTTGCTTACTGTCTTTGTGCCAGAATTCTGACCAGGACAGTGGGGAAAAATCTACAATAGGGACGCAGACAGCAATGAAAGGTTGTCAACATTCTAGCCTTTCTCTAGTCTACTTCAAATATCTAGCTTTTATGTGAATCTTAGTTGGGGATTCCCCCCCCCCCCCACTTCTTGCCCCAAAGACATTTTCAGAGTGAAACATGATGGAGGCTCTAAGACGTCCCTCCTCTAAAGCTAAAAAAAAGAAAGTTTTGGATATGGATACACAAAAATATTGTTTAAGCACCTGGTTGGATCTGGTGCTATTTGCATGGCAGGCGACTTGCAAGTCGTATGCCAAGTCGCACCCTATTGTCCACTATTAGAGCTGTCCTATCAGTGCAGTTCTGACCTGGTCGGAGCCAAACTGATTTCTAAAGTAGTGCATGCACTACTTTTATTGCGATTTGCATAGACACCTGTGTCAGATGTCCCCCGATCAGGTTTCCAATTTTTATTTTACACCCCGGTCACATCAAAGCTGATTTTGAAATCATGCGACTTCACTGTAAATCGCACGATTTCAAAATCAGCTTTGATGTGACCGGGGTGTAAAATAGAAATTGGAAGCCTGATTGTCTCTTTTGTGTTTCTATTATTGTTTCAAGCAATGAAAAAACCCTCCATGAGAATATCTGTTCATAGTATATCTCAGTCTGGTTGGTCTTTGCTGAGTTGAATTTGAAATATGTATAGACAAGATGCATCGTTATAATTAGTAGGCAGAACAGGCACAATAGCTGTTCTTTACCTAAAATGATGGGGCTGCTTTAAGGTTTATTGAATGCTTTGTCTGTGGAGCTTTGCAAATGTACACTACAATGCAACCAGATTTTTTCTCTTTTGTAGCGGTTGTTGGACTTAACCTTTTCTCTGCCAGGTCCCCTCTAGCATCGAACTGGCTTTAATATTCATAGTGAGTGTTCCTACTACTATGGATTAGTGCCAATCTCAAACCGCTCTTCTAAGTCCTTTTACATACGCTGTAAATAATTGATGTGTTTGCCTGCCATGTTTCAAAAGGATGTCCCACTCTACAGACTCGACCAGAAAATGAATGGTGAGTGAGCAGGTTTTGCTAAAACAGTTTTGTATGCTATTATGAAATAATAACTGACACGGAGTCCATTTGCTGATGGAAAGCTTTCTTATGCCTCACAAGGGGTTTAAGAGATACTCTGTGCTTACTCAGGAGTGAAAGCATCAAATTAAACTGTTTGTGCTGACAAAGGAAAAATTTGGATTTCAGCAAACGATGCAGGATCGGGTGATTGCTCTGTCTGTCTCCAAAGCAGGCTGCCCAGGCCTTCTAATGAAATGCATGCATACAATTAAAGCCACTTAAAGTGTGCGGCTCTAGGATGTGTTCCATCAGTCTCCAGTGACCACAGCCTCTCCCTGGACACTGGCTCCGTTTCATATTCATAAATCAGCTCTTCACGCATTGGCAGCACAGGTCCCATGGAGTAGGCAGGGAGCACCGGGAGACCGGGCCTTGTAGCCAGTAACAGAAGTGAAAAATGATTCCACTTGGTGGGGGCTTCTAGATTTATTGCAGGAAGAAGCAGCAAATTGAATAGCAATGAGAGAGTGTGAATAAGCACCCTGTCAAGAGATCTGACACTGACAGATAAGGTTCACATATAGTGTCTTCACACTGCACCATGGCTAAGAGGTCCTGCTATGGAAGGCTATACATCTTCCTTCATCTGTTGACATATTAGAGCTCTTTTTGGAAATAACATAGCACCTTTCCTGATATCAATATAAAATCTTTGTGTAGCTATATACCTGATACTTCTAATTACACTGATGATTTCAGGCAGTTTGCTGTGCTTTAAATGCTGCTCAGGTTGTAATCTGTCATCACTTGAAAAAAAAGTGTGTAGTTTTGAACGTCTTCCATTTTACATCTGTATTTACAGATATACCACACAGCAATTATTCTTGCTGGTCATACAGTAATCATTAGTTATAATTAACAATGCTCCTATATGTAAAATGAATTCATATGGGACCAGATAGAAATTATCTGCAACAGGCAATTACAGCTCAGTCTCAAACCATGAGCAGCCATGAACTTTAGGGACTGTTAGGATAAAAATTTTGGGACTTTTGCTGGATTGTTTTAAAAATGAACTTGGGCAGAAGTAAAAGGCCCTAATTATTGCTGTTCAGTGTTTATTACTACAGTACTTTTTTTTTTTTGTAATTCAATCAGTATAAGTAC